CTCTGGGCACGGCCCCTGGGGCCGGCAGCACTGGGCCGGGGGCAGGCAGGGTTGTAGAGTGGGGCCGTCCCGGGAAGCCCCGGGCCAACAGCCGCACTGGTGGCTCAGCCTCGGCCATGCAGAGCTCACTCTCCAGCAGCTCAGTGTGGGTACTGGACTGGCAACAGTCACACAACCCAACAGAGCTGCCCCTTGCTGCACTGCCACCCTCTCCCTCTGTACCCCAGCCCCTCTTCCCTGGTGACAGCGGAACCTATCTTCATTTTTGCCAAGACCTCTGAGACTGCACAGAGGTGAATCTGACATTTTCTGTCTTACTGACAGAACTCAGCTGCCAAGGAAGCAGTAAAGATGCAACCTTCACGATACAGGTCATAAGCAATTTTAGATGAGCACATGCGTTAAAAGCTTGTTAACTGTTGGACTGTTAAGTGAATTAAGAAATAAATTCTACGTCTTGCAAGCTTCTCAGCTTGCTTAAGAGACTCAAATGCCCTAAACCCTGGGCAGTTCTTTTGGGCACAGTGAGTAAGCATTGTAAGAGGTTGGTGCACCTGGCTTTGCAGAGGCTGTCAGACAAAGCTGCAGACCATGTGTGCACTTGCCAGCTTACAGAGCAGGGGCATGTGTGCTTTGACGAGTGAGCTTCAATCCTCACCAGCCACAGGGAAGGAAGGGGAAGTGGCTGCCTGCAGTGATGTACGCTAATCCTCATAATGCTACGTGAAGGTGTTGTGGAAGGCAGCAACTTGCCTGGGGCAGCTGGGGCACAGGAGTGTGTGTGTGTGTACCTGGCACAAAAACACCCCTTGCATATCTCTCGCTATGTCTGTGCAGCCCAACTCAGTGCAATACAGAGGTATGAGAACTGATGTAGGTAATCAACTCAGGAAAGCAAAAAACAGGTATGTTCATTTACCAGGTGTCATCAGGGCCCTGCTAAACTGACTATATTGCTTCCACTTCTCAGCCAGCTCAGGAATCTGCATGGCGCTTCTATCACAGAAACAGATCCGCACGGTGGCATTTTCTCCCCCCACTTTTTTTATGGGATAGGTGTGCAAGCAACTATGTGGGAAAAAACTCACTTCACATGTCCTGCATGGGTCCAGAGGAGCAGAAGTAAAGAAAACACCTGCAACCTAATATGTGTATTCTTAAGAAGGAATATGTTTAATCACAAACACCTTCTTGTCTTAATCAGTTATTTCTTCTCTAAAAATCTCACATTTTATCCATACTTCTCATACTGCATCAGAGCAAAATGAGGACTACCATTTTAAAACAGCATTGCAGTCACATATGAAAGGCCACTGTTCTGCCAGAAGGGTTTCCCCTCACAGCTTAGAGTTAAGTTGTGTGAGCATCTTCTCGAGCTTTATTGCTAGTGCCATGTTACCTTTAATCCTTAATTTTCCTGACATGAAGGCCAGGGTTGGCTTTAGTTTACCTAAAAAGGAGAAACGGAACCATCAGAAAAGGAACTGGAGACAGCCTGTCCACAGGAACATGTAATGCCACTACAGCATGATCTAGCAGGTATATTGCTACCCAGTTCTGCTGTAAAAGCAGTGCGTGTTTAGGAAACACAGATCAGAGATGTGCAGAACAGAAGTCCAACAGATTGCAGGATATCTTCTGCAGCTACACCCGCTGCTACAATTTCGATACCCAGTTAATAAAAGCAGTAGAAGCTTTTCTGCCTTTCCGGGTCACAGAATAGAAGAGTTGAGAAAAACCCAAGAGTTCTATCCTGCACTTTCACTTGAGATGCAAAAAGCCGAAAGCTCCTCCATCCCAGGACCACAGACAGAGCAGCCTGTCTATTTGCCCACCAGCAGAAGGTTCTCTGGGCACCAGTGCCTGCATCTGCTCTGGCAAGTCACAGAATCACAGAAGGGCGGGGGTTGGAAGGGACCCCTGGAGATCATCCAGTCCAACCTCCCTGCCGAAGCAGGGTCACCTACAGCAGGCTGCACAAGACTTCATCCAGGCGGGTTTTGAATATCTCCAGAGAAGGAGACTCCACAACTTCTCTGGGTAACCTGTTCCAGTGCTCCGTCACCTTCAGAGTGAAGAAGTTCTTCCTCATGTTCAGACGGAACTTCCTCTGCTTCAGTTTGTGCCCGTTGCCCCTTGTCCTGTCACTGGGCACCACTGAAAACAGTTTGGCCCCATCCTCCTGACACCCACCCTTCAGATATTTACAGGCATTTCTAAGGTCCCCTCTCAGCCTTCTCTTCTTCAGGCTGAACAAGCCCAGCTCCCTCAGCCTTTCCTCACAGGAGAGATGTTCCAGTCCCCTCACCATCCTTGTAGCCCTCTGCTGGACTCTCTCCAGTAGCTCCTCCTCTTTCTTGAACTGGGGAGCCCAGAACTGGACACAGTACTCTAGATGGGGCCTCACCAGGGCAGTGTAGAGGGGGAGGAGAACCTCCCTCGACCTGCTGGCCATGCCCTTCTTAACGCACCCCAGCACACCACGGTGCTTCTTGGCAGCCAGGGCATGCTGCTGGCTCATGGTCAACCTGTCGGCCACAACGCCTCTGTCACTCACCTGTGAACATTTTGACAAAGTCGGCACTCGACATGCTCATAACCACATCGGCCGTCACGGGGGGCTTTCCGAAACCAGCGCTCCCGCCTTCGGTTTTCAGGTCAATATACCACGTGCCACCTTCGTCACCTGAGCAG